ACTTGAGTAAATGTACACAAATGTATATTTTAACACACTGAGAGGAATCTTAATGTAGAGGTAATGAAGTCACACAGTTCAGTTTAGTTTCAAAACTTTAGTAAAAATCTTTATTATCAGTTGATTAATGCGACAGTGACTCTACTCATCAAACACAACAAGGAACTAACAACGTGTTCTCACGTCTACTGTGGTTACGTGAATAAATTATGAAGAAGAACGAGCGAAAACCTGCCCAGAAATAAATGACGGTGTGATTCCCAGATCAAAAATCAAAGTACGTTTCGAGATGTTTTATAAAACTGTTGATGTGATGACGATATTTCAGCGAATAAAATGTTGATAACTGCTGTTGAAACAAAGATTATATGAATTCCTCTGAACTCACTGAATCACTTTTTACTGGGCTCAGACAGAACGTGACCCCTTCACTGTAAATGGGGCGTATTAGCACCGATATATATAAAAAAAACCTACAAATCAAACTAAACACAAAGAACGAGTGACGGGAACAGAAAGAATCAATGACGAGGCTGATGTCAACAAATCCACAAATCACAGGAAAAGACCAAAACCAACTGTTTCTCAAAGTTTCTGAATCTTTAAAAGTTGCTCACAAATATCTAATGTGATAAAAAACGGATGAGTAGTTTCTGGAGAAAGTGACAAACAGGAAACTGTAGATTTGTTCGGGACTATTTTCAGCCTCATCCTCACAGAGACAGATTCTACACTCAGATGTTCTGGATCAGGAATCTCTGTATGAGACCAACATCTCACACGAGCAGGATTCAGATCCTCGTGATGTTTTCTGAGTGAGCTGTGGTTTCCGAGGGGTGAGGTCAGGAGGTCCCGGGGGGAGGGAGGGAGGAAGAGGCTCAGTTCTTTGTGGTTATGAGGGTTTGGTAAAGTGGCTTCACCACAATGTGGAGAAAGAGCGAGCTGTCGATGAGGTACTCAGACGTCCGGCGGTAAAGGTCGGCCTCCGCCAAGAAATCCCCGTTCTCCTCCGTGCTCTGGTGGAAGTTGTAGACGTGTCTCACCATCACCTTCCCCTGCTGCCGAGCCATCACCAGCACCGTCTTCTGGAAGTTCACCCCGGCGAAGTCCGCGCTGGACGTGGCAGGGGTGATGATGATGCGAGGGCGCCCTCCCTCCACGCGTGTCGGCTGCATGGCGCCCGTGTCCGTGTACATTGGCCTCATGCTGAGGGGTAACCAGCGAGGGGAGAACAAGGCGTTCCACGTCACCCGCTTGCTGGTGTCGTGGCCGCTGGGCCCCAGCTGGGTCTGGAAGCTGGTGCTGCGGTCGTCTCGCGTCGGGTTGTTGATGATCCAGGGCGACCCCCACACTGAAGACAGGTAGTTCCTGGGCACGAAGAGGCTGCAGTTCACGTCGAAGTATTTGGCCATGTGCAGCGGCGAGGCCGAGTGGAACTGGTAGGACATGTAGAGGAGGTCACGCACTGACTCCTGATAGCGGGCCAGGACCGGGGACTGGGTCTGCAGGCGGAACAGCTCTTTGGGAGGCATCATGGCGTAACGCACGGCCCTCAGCGCGTTCTCCGCCGTCAAACCGTCCGGCTGGTTCTGGATGATCCAGGCCTCCAGAGCGGCAAAGAGCTCCATCTCGCTCTGCAGGATGAGGTCGGAGCGCTGCAGCAGCGACATGAGCAGCTGGCTGCTGATGGTCACCCACTCTCCGCTCTGCAGCACCGACGACAGGTTCCAGGCCAGATACTGGAGGCAGCTGTCCCGCAGGGTCACGTCCCCGGCCACCACGGCGTACTCGTACCAGCCGGCCACGTGGCCTGACGGGGACTCCCGGGCCAGGTTCTGGGTCATGTACTGGGTGACGCCCTGTTGGAGACTCAGCACCTGGTACTTGGAGGCCAGCTTGTGCAGCGGCGTGGCCTGGTCCAGACGCAGGGAAAGTTCTCCACAATACAGATACCTGCACGGAGAGAGAAGCACGACATGCGGCAACCAGTCAAACCGACTTCCTGTCACATGGAAACACAGTAAAAACAGACTGAGTGGATAATCGCTCATGGACCCTGATGAACAAACAGAACTCAACGACAGATCCAGCAGATTTTAATGTGGTTTCATATTTGTTGGGCCTTGGCGGTCGAGTGTCGAGTGTCTGAGCCCAACGTGAGCCAGATGTTTTCACCGACAAGAGCCAGAGCAGTGTGAAAAATCAAGTTGACCAAACTCAAACCTGAATATCACATAAAAATGTTTGCCTGAACCCAGAGGAACCTGGCGGAACCCTTCAGAACCGGTCGGGTTCTACTTGATGGAGCTAAATGTTCTACCCGCTCCTGTTTAACTGGTTTTCAAAGTGCTGCAGTTTGTTTTTTGCCCACTTGGGGGCAGAGTAACCTCACAACAGGCTGGAAAACACAACTGTAATAAACCTTCTCATATCAAAATGATGATGTCCGACACGAGGCGACATTCAAACCCACGGGAGTGAATCTAAATCTGTGCTTTGTCTCTGTCGTGCTCTGAAAACATCATCTGGCTCTTCAGCTGCTCAGCGACCGCTCGGCCCTAAAACCAAAACAAGCTGAAAGAGGCTAAAAGTAAAACCGCTCTTTTATTTAGATTGAATTAGTTTTCCGCAGCTGGAGTTCAGGTTCAGATCAAACTCATCAGCGTTTGAGATGAAATGGATTTAATCATTGATCTGTGCCGAGGCTCCAGGACGTCTGCACCACAGGAGCTTCATCGACTGCTCTGCTTGGTTCAGGACTCGTCATCGATTGTTTGCGGCTCTGCAGTTACAGCTGATCCCACTGGAGGGCGTGATAACTCCGCGTGGAGCAGAGGGTCGACCTCCGGGGACGAAGACGTGACCTCTCACCTGATGAACTTGTCGAACACCGCGGCACAGTCGGCGTTCTCCTTCAGGACCAGCGTGCTGCTGTTGCGGCTCAGCAGCATCTCCTCGAACGCGGGGCTCTGCAGGGAGAGCACCAGAGAGTGAGCCTGGATCATCTTCACCTCGTCTCCGCTCGGCGTCTCCACCCGCAGGGACACGTCGCTGCCGTTCCCCTGGAGCAGCAGGGCCTCCAGACGCTGCACCAGGGTCAGGGAGTGGCTGATGGTGTCCCCGCCGCTGGCGCCTCCGTCCGGGGCCATGTCTACTTTCAGCATCCCTGGTGGAAGACAGAGGGTGAAGGAGCACGTGTGTTTCTCTGAATACGACATTCGACAAAGGAGAGTTTGTGAAAGACGATTTCAAATCAAAGGTTCAGTTTCTTTCAGGAACGAGTTTGTTTTTAGGGCAGATTGTGGGTCAGTGTTGTTCGGATCTATACGTGTCATTGATCCGTCCAGATGCTCTGGTGCGTCTGGATAATGAGGGATTGTGGGTCACGTTTAATTAAAACAGTTGTAGCACGCACACACACACACACACACACACACACACACACACACACACACAGTAGACTAGTTGTTTCTTGATTCACCAAAGTTTTGTTCCTCTTTCTGATTCTTGATTAATATTTGAAACTTCCTGTTTCCTGAAACTGTTGTTGAGAGTTGATGATCAAACTTTCTCGTCACCGTGGAGACGAGTTTGTTTCATGTTGGTGTGAATGTTGTGGACGAGCGAAAAGAAACTTATTAAAGAATCAGTCAAATTTGAAAAAGTTTAAATGTCAGACAAGAGAGAAGAAGAATACTTTGGATTGATATTTAATAAAATACAAAGATCTGAGAATTCGAGAGAATGAAGTTTAGAAATTAATAATATTAAGAAGAAGAAAGAGTTATTTACTAATTTTAACCACAAGTGAGAGCAACTTTTACATCTGAATCACAGAGAGACTTTAAATTAATCTGTAAAAATCTGACGAATATTTCATCTTTTTAAAACTCTTCTGTACATATACTTCATTTAAAACTATGACATCACTGAAATCAACCTGCAGCTACGGTGTGTTGAGAACTCTGAAACAATTAAAATTGCCCAGATAGAAAGTTACACTGCACAGTTAGTTAAATTAGTTTAAAACTTGAGTGAGATATTTGAGGTAATGTACAATGTTTTCAAATATTAAACTATTAACCCCAATTCTACAAACGTGTTCACTGTCATACATATTTTTTTTATTTGGCCGAAGCACATTTAGTTCTATGAGGAGAAATCCGTCCACACGAGTTTGAGATTCACGTTAAGACTCTTTCACAGTTCAGCATCATCCAAAGTCACAGATTCACATGATTCTCTGCTCAGATCAGATTTCTCCAGACGATCCGTCTCTAACTCACCTGCAGCAGCAGCAGCCTCCTGCAGACACAGACTCAGGAACAGCTGAACCAGGAGTTTCACCATCTTCTCTCTGTCTTCTTCTTCTTCTGTCCGTCCTCGTCTGGTCTCTGCCTCTGTCCGCTCGACTGTGGAGGACCGGGAGGGAGGAGGTGTGTGTGTGTGTGTGTGTGTGTGTGTCTGAATGTGGGACGGGGGGTCACACACAGAACTTCATCGATCGGTGGGTGGAAACAGGCCTGGGTTGTTTCCATGACTACCACTTTGATTCCGACTTTCCTGTCCTTGGGTATCAACGCTGCATCGACTCGGCGAGGAGGCCGCACGGGACCTGGGACAGATGTGGAGTGAGAAACAGCTGGAGGTGTCCTGACGTCTGCGGGTGAGACAGACGTTATCACACCTCGTCCTCTCAGCTGTGAGGGTCTCAGCAGCAGATCAGTCTCTGCGTGTCCTGATGTGTGTCAGTGTGTTCACCCAGTTCAACACAAGTGCGTGACACAGCAACACAAGCGATTTATTCACGGCCTCAGGCCACAGCACGATTCATCGAGGGGGGGGGGGCGGTCAGTTACACAATCAATATTTCTATGTGCACGATTCTGTCAAAGGTCCGGATCACGAGCCACAGAATCGATGTTGAACCCACAGGACGAGTTGCTCTGTCCCAGTCTGACTCTGAGAGGAGACACCAGAGTCCTGAGGAGTCAGGACATGTTGGGTTTCTCTTGATGAAACTTATTTTATTTTGGCAGCAAATGTGGATGAGAAAGTTTTTAAATGTAACCAAAGTTTTCTGTGTGATAAGATCACAATGACTTGAAGTCAAGGTTGGGTTAAGTTAAGGCTTGTAATTACAGCTCAGGTCCACTAGAGGTCAGAACAGCTGCGTCTGATCAGCAGCTTCATTTCAGATACAAGTTTTTAAATCTGTGAAACAAACAAAACCGATGAAACATGAAATAAAAACTTTATGAAACGAGACGGGAGAATCACAGAATGTGAACTAAATGTTAAAGTGTTGAAAAAAACACTTTTTCTCTAAAGTAAATGATCTTCGGACGTTTTTCTTCTTCTCTTCACTGTTTGTTTGACTCTTTTCCACGAGTGTGACTGATGATCTATAATCACATGGACTGAGTAAGTGTTTTCTGCAGCTGCGGTAGATCCAGCTTGTTTGTTTTAGCGTCACAGCTTCGGTATGTTTTGGACTAATAATAAAGCATCAGTCAGGGACAAGCAGTTATTGAGCTGCAGTTACTACGAGAGCTGGAGCTGATTTAACAGCCGGTCGACCACCGATCGATAAATATGTTTCAGCTTTGTTGTGTTGTTTTGTTGTGAATTCTTTGCGTTGAAAAAGCAGAAGAGACGTGAGCAGCATTTAAACTTTAAAAACAAACGTGGATAAAGACAGTTTACGAAGTTTCATGGAAATCTGTCCAGGAGGTTTTGTGTAAATCCTGTAAACGGACAAACACAGTAAAACATAACCTCCTCGGTGGAGGAAACAAATCTAGACCTTCTGCTGCAGGTTTGGTGAAACAGCGTCACGACTGTGAGTCAGAGCAGAGATTAGACGACGGCGTTTGTCTGGAGAGCTGCTCGTGTTTCAGTCTTATTGCCTGAAAGCTGCACAGAGCGACACTTCGGAGAGCTGAGGTCACGGCCGGCGTCCAGAGGGAGGTGACCCGTGAGAAGACGAGCTCGGCCTCAGCATCACTTTATCTCAGTGCAGTGGCTCCATTAACCTCCACCCGCCTCCTTCACGCCGCCACCGAGCCCCACAGGAAGGAGGAGGCGCTTGTCTGTGAGGGATGAGCGTTGGCAGGCGGAGCTCCGACATAAATCTCAGTTGCCGTTCGACTGTGCAGGCGTGAAATTGGCTCGATGATTTAAACATTCTGTTCATTATACATATATTTAAATACAACCTCCTTCTGTCAGTCCACAGTTGTGTAATCAGAGACAGGAAGTCCCTTGACTCACGTCCAGAACATACTTGAGGTGAAACTTTTTCCATTTTGGGAGAGTTTGTCTTCTTCTATCATCTGATGACCGAGATTCAACCATATTAGGAGGAGCGGGGGGGGGGGGGGGGGGGGGGTGGAGCCTGACTGAGAGCTCGTGGACACACCCACCTACACCTGCGACCGTATCGCTAAAGCAGACGAAATGTTTACTGACGCTACGGATCAAGTTAGAAGTGAAGTCATTTTCTCATAGACTTCCACAGAAACAACCAGTGGAGTCGCCCTCTGCTGGTCATTTGAGAGAATACAGGTTTCAGGCACGACCACGTTGGCTTCACTTTCCGGACCTGGAGTCTGAGAACGTTGTTGTGAACGTTGTTGTGAACCGTCTGTGGTTTACAGCAAACTGTCAGCTGCGCTCGTGAAGGAACATCACACGGCTGCTTCAGTGATTTTCTTTCTAAAGTGACTTAATTTGATTTCTGTTGATTGTGGAGACGCACATCAACCTCGGCATCGAGCGGAAAACATTAAGTTTAACCCCTCACATGCTCCCTGGTCCTGCCTCTGCATCCTCACCCTCCAATCTAACCGGTCCGATCGATGATGACTCACGTCTGCCTCTGATCGCCGCCTGCCAAGGTTCATTATTTGCTCGACTCCCCTGCCGCAGCGTGAGGTCAGAGGTTTGTCACTGTAAGTCAGATAAACACACGAAATGATCTGCGGCTGCAGGACGACGCTCAGCAAACTGTGTCCGAGCTCACGTAGGCCTCGGGTTTGTAAATGATCCGTCAACAGACTAAACTGATGGATGGATTCGTTCTCCGCTGCTGCCTGTTGTTCGCCTCGTGCTCTGTTTTCTTTGGAGCTTTGCTATTACCAACAATTTGCAGTCGTGAGACGAGAGTCCTCCGAGGATTTAACTAAATTAAAGACACGTTTGTCTCATACTAAACAACAAATCGGCTCCACGTCCTCTGATCTCGGTGATTTCCTCCCTCGCGAGCGTGTAAAGACTCAAATGCTGCTGCGAATTCATACGTATGATTAAGAAGCGACTGCTGCTGGGCGTCGTCTAATGTGCGGACGTGTGCTAATAAAGTCGTGGGCTCGTGAATGTGTTCGGTCACAATGAGAAGATGTTCAATGGGACAAAAGGTTGGTTTTCACTTTGTGAGGTCACAGACAACGCTGTGCTGCCAAGTGTGTGTGTGTGTGTGTGTGTGTGTGTGTGTGTGTGTGTGTG